TTCCGTGATCAAAGCATATACTTTCTGTTTCGATTTTTTAGCTATGGACTGATTTGTGTGAATTGATTTCGAAAAATCCAAATAAAGTGCATTCATTGAATGGTGATGCAATCATACGACAGGGCATACAGAGGTTAATCTTCATAACAGTGTTAAGTAGAATTTAAGTCCCGCTTAGCTGAATTACATATTTTGATGAAAATTTGGGTTTATAAAGATATGTTTTAGATATAGCGACCAGGTAGGACTTCTCTGGTGCTCGCTAGCGGAGTATTATATCAGAGGCGGGCACTTTGAACGGGTTAGAATTTTATTATATATTTTTGTCTTATCAGACTGTTTTCATGCGGTTATTTGTATGCTATGGCTTTTATAACACATGATTTGTATCTTGCGTATATGGAAGCTCTATGTTATCGTTAGGAAAGCAGTTCTTATTATGAGATTTATCTGCAGGCAAGAGATGTGTATGAAGAATCACTGATATCGGTCAAAACTGTACGGGACTTCACGCAGGTATTTGATGCTTATGCCAAATTTGCGGAACGTGCAACAGCAGCAAAAATGGATGAAATAGATAATGAGGACACTGCAGCTGATGAAGAACAACAATTAGAATTAGAGCTTCTTTTCGCAAGGTATCTTTTTCTTAGTGCTCTTTGGTGTTAGTTACTGTTGCAGTTTTATATTAACGGTATTATGTTACTTTTCGATTTAAAAAGTAGTATCCTAATTGTACGTTTAGTATAACTCTTTCAAAGCATAGTAAAAATTTATCCATACTGCTCTTTATCACAGCTAAAGATAAATCCTAAGAAATAATTGATTTCACACTGCAGCTGATGAAGAAAATGATGAACTAAATAAATTATAAAAATGACTGCCAAAGGTCTTTCAGATTTGAGCATTTAATGGACCGTCGACCACTTCTTTTAAATAGCGTTTTGTTGCGCCAAAATCCTCATAATGCATATGAATGGTTAAATCGTGTCCGATTATATGAAGGCAACAGTATGAAGGTAGGACCAAAATGAGGAACGCTCACTTTAAATTATTTAGCTTTTTTAATATCTTTGATTTTCAAAAGTATTCTAGCGTAGAAATGCTATTTGTGTATTTCTTTATAAATCATCTTTTCAAATTCTTTTTTTTTTTCAAATTTAGCTATATTGTAGCAAATCGAGACCTATGAGCAAGGTGTCCGAACAGTGCAACCAAAACTACAAACTGGGAAGTTGTCAAATATTTGGATAAGTTTCGCGAAATTTTATGAACAAGAGGATATGTTGGATGAAGTATTTTTTATTTTGAAAAGATACCATTTTTCATAACTTTCTGCATTTGTTATATACGTTCGACCTTCATCTTAAATTTTATTGCAGGCTATTTATTAATTTCTTACTAGCCACTTTTTTTTTCATGTTGTACACTCAATCAGTTTTTGTTTCCAGGCTAGGTTAGTATTTGAAAGAGGACTAAGACCTGAATATACCAAAGTAGATGATCTTGCATCGGTATGGTGTGAGTATGTTGAATTTGAGCTGCGCCATCGGTTAGTTGTAGCATAATACTTTTTCTGTTGTCAATTTTCTATATACAATTGTTGATAATTGTTAACTGTTCTTCATTATGAGATCTTAACTATGTTTAGGAATCCTGAATATGCTAGAAAACTAATGCAAAGAGCAACTGCTATGCCACCTCGAAAAACTCATTACTTTGATGAAACTGAACCAGTCCAGAATCGGCTATACAAATCATTAAAGGTTAACAAGTTCGGCTTGCATATAGTGTTCTGATATATAGTACTATCAAAATCTTCAATTTTAAACCTTATTCATCTCAAGTAATTCTAATTTGATTTATAAATTTTATCGGCCTCTGACCAAACATTCTTTTTTTTTCGTGTTTTGGAATCTCGTTTCTTGTCAGCAATATAAATGAATTCAGATTTGGTCTTTGTACGCTGATATCGAAGAAGCATTTGGCACTCTTGAAAGTTGTCAGGCTGTTTATGAAAGAATTATTGATTTACGTATTGCTACTCCACAAGTAGTGGTTAATTATGCTAAATTTTTGGAGGAAAATAATTATTTTGAGAATGCTTTCAAGGTAAGAACTTATTTTTTTTATTCTACTGAAATGAAAATCTTTGTGTCGAATAACTGACTTTTTCAGTTTATTTGGATGTGTACATAAAATACATTTTGGTTGTATTTTACTTCTTAATATTCAAAAGAAATAAATCACCCATAATCTATAAATTAATATATCAGCTGGTCGAAGATCTATTATTTTTCAGGCTTATGAGAAAGGAATAGCATTGTTTAAATGGCCAGTTGTCAATGAAATTTGGACCGTATATTTGGTTAAATTTCTGAAGCGATATGTATGTACTAATTAGTTCTGACCTATGTAATTTCAGGGAACATGAACGATATTTTCGTATTTTTGATCAAAACAACTTAATTTTTTTTTTTTTTTTGAAGGGTGGCAAGAAACTGGAACGTGCGCGCGACTTGTTCGAGCAGTGCTTAGAAAATTGCCCTTCAAAATTTGCAATGAGTAAGCAATTTAGATCAATCTAATAGGTTGTCCATGTGTTTACAGTAAAGTTTTTGGGAATTCATGGCTTTCTATCACATTTGACAGTGATATAATTAGAAACGTCTTCATCTGATTTCATATTTAACATTACATGCATTCTAATTTTTAGAAATTCTATGACTGACTGGGATGGATAGAATGTTCAGAAAATGTGTTTCCATTAAGAACCGAAATCCATATTTCTTAACTTTATTCTAGAGCTTTATTTATTATATGCAAAGTTGGAAGAAGAATATGGTTTGCCACGGCACGCAATGAACATTTATAATCGTGCGACTACTGCAGTTGAAAAACATGAAATGTATAGTGTATGTTTTTTTCTGTTTTATAAAATTAATCTTTAATTGAAATTTTCCACTAATATTCTAAGGCACTTTAATTGGAATGTGATTTATATTTATGTGAAATATGATTTATTTAGAAATGTGATCTAGTTTTTCCACGAAATATTGGTATAAAAAGAATTTCATTTACATAGATTTTCTTATTTGCAGATGTTCAATATTTACATCAAAAAAGCGACAAGCATGTACGGTTTAACATTCACAAGACCAATATTTGAACATGCCGTTGAAGTTCTTCCGGAAGATCAGTCCAGGTATTACACTTTTTTTTTCTTGTTGAAGTTAGTTTTTTATAATTCTTTCGATTACCAATTGAGTTTTCAGTTTTGAAATCAAATTCTCACTTTTAATTTCTGAAGGGAAATGAGTATTCGATTTGCACAAATGGAAAGAACATTGGGTGAGATTGATCGAGCACGAGCAATATATGCTCACTGTTCTGAAATATGTGACCCTCGGGTAATTTTTAATTTAGAAATTATTATTAAACTCAAAAATTACTTATTATCCTGTCTGATATCACTATAATAAGACTAAATGCTGGTGAAGATTTAGTGATGTAAGAAATTGTTAAAATGATTTATATTCTCGTTTTAAATAAATCAACATGATAAAGTTGTAACGTCGATATAAACATAAATGTGGTAATCTGCTGCAATTAAAGTAGGAGAAATTTTCACAGGTTCATGGGATGTTCTGGGAAATTTGGAAGGAATTTGAAGTGAAGCATGGTAATGAGGATACGGTAAGGGAGATGTTGCGTATAAAAAGATCGGTGCAAGCAACTTACAACACAAACGTTAATATCATGAGTGCACAGATGTTATCCACAGCAGCGGGTGCAGTAACTAGTACAATCATCCATGAACGTGGGTTCATGTATTTACTATCTTAGCTGTATTTCAATTTTTGGAGTACGTATCTCTAAAATATTTTAATAGGATTTTTACGATAATTTTGTTTTCAATATGCTTTTTTGAATTTTAAATTTTAATTTTAGCAAGCACAGCTGGTGATAGCATGGCAATGCTTGAAGCTCGTGCTCAGAAGATCGCCGAAGAAGAGACAGGTGTAACGAAGGTAGCAGTTGGCGGCACAGGTATAAAATTTGTACGAGGAGCTATCCGTGTAGTCGAATCAAACGTTACTGAAAATCCAGAAGAAATTGATATTGAAGATGATGACGGCGATGATGAACAAAAAATTTTAGACGGTAAGTGTTAAATGGCTTAAAACTAGGCATGAGAATGTATTTTGAGGCATACCAAACAATCGATTGGTTGTTACATTGATTTTATCCGACGATTTTATGACTTTTCCATAATGCTCTAAAATTAGAAACAAATGCAGTACAGAATAAGATTTTTCTGTACTTAATCGGAAATTTTAGATGTGGAAACAAAAGCTATACCCACAGGTGTTTTGGGTTCACTTGCAAAAGAAAATGATCAATGAATTTGCAGAAAATTGTGTTGCTCTTTCGTTCACTGTTTTTTTTTTTTTTTTTCTTTTTACATGTTGCAGTTATGGCAATGCTTTAAAAAAACAGTTGTTTTTATACAAAGTTATTAAAACTACAAATCATTTCAGAAAGTAATATATGTCTTATTCTTCTGAAATTTTGGTGTTCAGGTTTTCACCAGAAATAAAATGTGATTCTTCTTCTTTGCATTTCCTTACGAAAAAATTCTATGTTTCATTTAAAAGAAAGGGAGGAGCGGCAAGGTGGATGGTTAAGCATTTGAGAAGGTGGTAACAAAAGTTTTGTAAATGGAGAATTTTAACTAGAAAATTTTATCTGGTGTTTGGTTTATTTATGACTTTTAGCAGCTAAGGAGAAGTTAACAGTGTTTTTATTCTCATTTTATCCAGTCGTATTGCTAAACTTGGACTTTATTTATCAAGTTTGAACAATATGCCTCCGAATTCCTTCCGAGAAATTTGTATGCAATAAAATTTTATATACCACAATAGTGGCGATATGGCTGTTTATTACTTTAAATAGCTGCAAGGTGGCTGGTTGATTCATTGTTTTCTAAAAATATTGTCATGGTCATAGACACGAAATTTGACTTGCTTCCATTTCTTGCAAAACATCAAAAATTCAAGGCAAAGGTACAATAACTTTTCTTTTCAGAAAAATTTCATAAAGGACAATGAAATGGAATTTTATTTTGTTTATGTCTTTGGGTTTGTTTTCTTGAAATCAGAAGTGCCGTAAAGAGCTTTACTTGACAAGGGACTGTTTTGTAAAAGTATAGTCATAAAATTAGTAGTAAACATAAAATTAGATAAAAATGATTTAGGACTTGAAGATTTCAATATAATTTAAAAAATCCGTAAATTTATCTGCCTTTTCTTTCTAAATTTATTCCTTATTTATGATTGATTACTGCTGGGTCGATTAGTTTGAATAATACGAAATGAAATATAAAACTATTTAATAGTAAATAAAGTCAAATAGTAGCGGTGTCATTAAATTAAATTAACATCAATTGTTCTAACGTTAATCAGTCAATATTCTTTTGGCATAGGTGAAGGAAAGTGGAACACTAACAGTGGATATGGGAGTTTTAATTTCATTAATAGATCATTTAAATGCAATCTGTAAATTCAAGTTACTGAATATTTTCTTTATATCTAAATTAGAGATTGATGAGTGGAGGTTTTGCATAAAATTTTTAAACATTTTTTTCATTTTTTTTTTTTTTTTGAAAATTTTAAAAGCTTTCTTGTTTTTCAAATTCCTGATTACATTCAATGCAGCATTATATCTATACTTAAATAACTGAAGCGTAAACAATAAGGCAAACAAGTTTGGACAAAATAGGTCAATTAGCAGTAAAATGTTGTAGTGGTAGTTTTGCTGTTTTAGGTGGAATACAATCCTGACGAAATTTGTGAGATGATCGAGACAGCTCGGGTGTTGTTCTCGAACGAAGGTGCACTGATTGATGTTTCAATACCAGTGATCGTTGTTGGTGATATTCATGGACAGGTAGTATACATCTAAAAACTTGAATGAAACGCTTCTTGATACAGCAGTTGAAATCATTTCTTGGGACTTTTGCGGTGTCACCTTCAGTACGTGGATTTGCAACGGATTTTTGCGGCGGTTGGGCGGCCAGGTCGAACACGCTTTCTGTTTCTTGGTGATTATGTCGATCGTGGACCGCAGTCTCTCGAATGTATATGTTCACTTGTCGCTTGGAAAATCGCATATCCGAAAAGAGTATGAATTTTCAAAATTGCTGATTTCCGCGAAATTCAGTTTTACAAGCAAAGAGGACAAATCACCACGCTGAATATAATTTGGAAATGCAAAAATATGTTATTTTAAGACAGGCGAGCTGTAAATGTAAAGATAATCATAAGTAGAACACAAAATCTAAGCTGGGGGAACTTGCTCGAAAATTGCAAAGCAAACACCAAAGGTGATATATGTTTAAGATATTTTTACTTCGTGGCAATCATGAATTTGCCTCTGTGAATCGAGAATACGGCTTTTATGATGAATTAGCTGCAAGATTTAGCGTTGGTAAGTATTGCCTTAGTTTTCCCCATTGTTGAAAGGCACATATTGCTGAAAGATAGTTTTATTAATCTGTAGTGTTTTTCTGGCAAGAACTACTCTTCGAAAATTAATTGAGAGAGATAAAATCAAAAACATACGAGATAGCATGAATAATACGTCATCAACTTTTGCACAACAATACGTCATCAACTTTTTCGGATGTTTAAAATGAAGCATAGTGACATGCACTACACGCTGTTGCAAATTGCAGTTTTTATCTTATCAGTCAACTTGATAATTCTATGGCCTCATTATCAACTGCTCTAATTCCAGGTCAGGCAATGCGTCTGTGGAAAGAATTCAACGATCTATTTTCAATTTTCCCCTTTTCCGCTTTAATAAAAAATAGAATACTCTGCATGCACGGTGGTCTCAGCCCACATCTCGAGTCGCTGAACGATATTCGCAATGTAATCGACCATCTATATATTCTTTCAAATAAACCAGTGGATAGCCAATACATAGCTCATTATGGATGCTTGGAAACATATATACTAATTGAATTACTGAAGTTGTAGGAATGAAAGTTTTGCTTCATCTTTTCTTTAATGAATTACATTCTAATGTGCGTTTGCAAGTACCGGACACTGATCAATTGCTTCTGCTTCTCTGTTATCTTTCATTTCTCCTTCATTCCAATCTTTCATGAGGAAAAAATTTAATAAGCAGCATCGTTTTCTTTCTTGCTCAATGTTTTGGCCATTTTTTTTTTGCCACAGGTTTTGCATAATGTGCTAGCATATGAGCACTCTATATTTCTTTCCAGCATGATACTGGATTATAGGTTAACTTGATCTAAATCTTATCAGATTGCAAAAGGAAGCATACTTATCTGATTGAAAATTAAATAAAATTAACAGATCAAACTTTCAGGAATTTTTATCCAGAAATAAGGGTTTCTTATTTGCTTATTTTAGAAATTAAATACGGATTTTGCAAAGTTCTATAAATTCTAGAAGGTTAATTCCAGATAAAAATGCCTGTAATGGAGGTGTTCCCAGATACATTAGAACAGGATTTAGTTTGGTCGGATCCGAAATTAGACATCAAAGGTTACGAACCTAACAAATTGCGTAATGTGAGCGTGGCATTTGGTGAAGACATTGTCTATAAAACATGCAAGCGCTTAAACTTGGATCTTATTATACGGGCACATCAGGTTTTAAACTGTTTTTTAAGTCTGAATTTGAAATAATTTGGTTGTCGTATAACTCCTTTTCCATGGAATAACTGGTCGAAATAAACTAAAGTAAATATTTAAGGAAACAGCTAGCTTTAGATCCTTTTTAGCATTTTATATCCATCGAAACTGCAAGTCTCTTAGCTAGTCAATCTTTCTTCTGAACTATTTAATTCACAGGTGATGGAAAATGGGTATGGATTTTTTGCTGGTCGTAAACTAGTTACAATTTTCTCGGCACCGTTATATGCAGAACTGGTAAGTTTCATTACGTGTGATGTATAAAATCATCGATTACTTCAGTCAAGAAAATAGACTTATGATTTTAAAGCTTTGCAAATTTTAAAGTCAATGGGCTATTCTTTTTTACAAATTCAATTCAAAAGTCCTACCGAGCAGCAGTGCTGCATGCAAGCACTGGGTTGTTATGTCACATAATGTAGAGATGAACAAAAGTTCATTGTTGAGCGATGGATATGACATACCTTTTCAAATGAAATGAGATTTTCTTTTTGGAAATAAAATTCAAATTTTTCGACGTGAATTGAAAACAATTTGCTTTTTCATGAGTGGAAAAGGAAGAAGAAAGTAGAGGGAAATGTATGTGTAGTTCAGGTATAATTAGTTAAATGTAAATTATTAAAAATAATTTTTATTCAAAGCCATAGTATATCAATAAAATAGGCATTGCTTTTAGCATAAAATAGTACGGTCAGTCAAAATAACAAGAAAAGATTGATTTGAAATTTTTTATATTTACTAAAACTCGAAAGTTGAGTTAAATGTTTTTCAAGTTGGGTATAGTTATGGATTTTAGATGATTCGGAAAATTTTGCGTTGCATGACTGTTTTATTTTTTTTCCTTTTTGCGAAAACATTTTATTTAATTTTCTTCTTTTTTTTTGAACCTATAAATGAACCGTGCAATTATAGTTGATAGAATGAAGAGACAGTTGGTACTTTCTTCTTGGTAATATAAATGGTTCTAATAAATTTATAACAATGAATTTACGCAAATTATAAAAGGCAGTGTCAGTATCGAATCTGATGTCCAAATTGGCTAAAATCAATAACGCTCGAATCTGTTTAGAAATTTTAATGGAAGATTTCGAATTTGAAGCAATTTGAGATTTCCCTTAAAATTCTGAGTGGATGTTTTTAGAATAACAGAGGAGCAGTTATACGTATTAATGCAGAAATGGTAATTAGCTATGTATTATTGAATCCTGTATCACAGACGACTGCTGGTAAGGATAATTTCCAACGTTCCTTCAAGGACGACCAAAGATCCTATCGTATGGATGAATTGAATAATGCTACAATGCTACCACAACTTCAATAATATCTAAAGTGCAGTGATAACTGTTAGAATATGCAGAAATATGTCTTATAGTATGCCAACTAATATTACACTGTAAAATATGATGTACATACCATTGAAGTCTTACATGTAAGTTAGCTGGTCAAATGATAGCATCACACCCAGTATTTTGAATTAATGAATAGATTTGAAATGACAGTAGAGTAATTCAGTGATTTAAAAAAAAAAAAATTTCCCTCAGAAATTTGATCTAATCACTTGATTCATTTTGACCTTTTTTCTCCATATTGAACCTGAAGTTGTATATACATTTCGAGGTCATTCCTACGTGATTATAATTTCTGTTTAGCGTTGTAAGTATATTTATGAGTTGCTTACTTACATCATCTTGAATAACTCAAAAAAATTCTACGTTACTTCATGAGCCTTCCATTTAAGCAACTCTTACTCTCTTGCATTCTCAAATTAAGAGTGACTGAAATGATAAGAAAGGAGCAACAATTAATCGAAAATAAGAAGAATAAATAATTACTTGTTTGCATATAATTCTGTGAAAGAGAGAGAAAGCAAATCAAATTAAGGGAAGCATATGAAATTGAATTCAGTAAAGCTGCTCACAGCTATTATTTATTTATTGTTGCGCCATTATATTGCATGTTAGCACCTTCTATGTTGCCGTAATAACGATTTTTTTTCTGGATTTCTGGAATGATTGTAGTTCACTGCAAAAAAGGCTGTTTTATGATTTAATTCAAAAAAGTAAACATGATTACGACAACAGGAGAAATCACTGTATTTCCGTCTGAAAATCTGACTTCCTTCTTTGGGTAGTAATCAGAATATGTGATTAGAATTTAATTTTTCTTTCCAACTTTTGAAGTGAACAAGCATTTTCTTCCCAATTAACGCACAAATAGATTTTTTTTTTCTTTTTCACAATATCGTGTGAATGGCTTTCAGAGAAATTATTTAGAGCTGTTTAGGTACCAAAAGTGACCAATTCTTTTTCGAACATTTGTAACTGATTGCAACAAATATTGGGAATGATAAGCATTGATCTACTCTAGGTCCCCTCACCGGCATAATAAAGTATCAGTCGATTTCCTGTAGAATGTTTCCTATCTGTTTAACTCATCCATTATAATATACCTGCTGGTAATTTGTCAATGAAAACAAACATATTTTTGAGTAATTATTCACTCTTATTGTTTCAGACATTGTTTACTTCATCGTACACCGATATTTCTATGAAGCAAATTACTGCTGCAATTCTCAAATATCGTTGTCTTCGGATAAGATCGCAACAGTGTCTAATGTATCATTTCGTGTTTGACGTACCGCTTTGTTAGTAGAATAATTTCCGCCGCTAACCCTTTCTCTTGCTAATGTGCGAAGTCATAACACTGTAATGAAGTTTTTGACACTTTTAAGCCATTTTCCCAGTTTCTGTGACAAATCTATAATCAATTCACTGCTGCTTAATTGCACATCCATATGCATAAGTATGTGTATGTGTGCGTGTATGTATATATATGGGGTGTGAACTGTTCATCCTGGCGCTTTTGGTCACAAGCATCGAGAGGACATCATGTGCAATTGATTTCGCTCTGAAACTATATTCTCAGTTATTGCAATCAAAACTTATATTTTGCTGAACATTGTAGTTTAATGAGAAATCACAAGTCATTTAATAGTACAACCTAAATCACAGTCTCAATAAGGTGGAAGAATTAGTAAAACGATTTGTCGAAGGTACCATAAAATTCAATTTTTTTGAGAGCTTCATGTGATACACTTACTTAATATAAAAGTTAAATTTATGTTCGCATTATATGGTTAATAACAAGAAATCGGGTATGTGCATAGCTTTTAAACCGAGCAATTTCAGCAGAAGTGGAAGGTTACGGTTAATTGATAAGTGAAAATCACGAATCGAAGATACCCTTCTTTCTTGGATGCTACTGCTATTACTATTGTTGAGTCTTTAACTTATCTGAAATATTTTTAAATTCCAGAAGAAATTTTCCACTCCCTCTTCTAGAAAGTTTATTATGATATTTCTTGATTTCATCTGTAAAAGCAATGAAATGGTCACATAACGAACAATTAGTAGAACTATGGTAGAAAAAAAGAAAGAATTAGAGAAATGTGAAAAATCCTTATAAGTTTTCTAGAGGAGATGTATACAAACTTTCTGAGTTTGATTAAAAAATTGAAATTGTTAAATCTCACACTTTTGCAACCTAGATTTTAGTAAACTGGTACGAAATAAAGATTTTACAAATGCTCTGAGTGGAAGAATGGCACAAGTAAAAAAACTCTATGCAAATTGTAAACATGTTGTTATTTTTCTGAATATTGCAGATTCTCATCTGTGTCCTAAAATTATTAGATTTTTAACTCTTTCGGACGAAATGAGAAATTTATTGTTGTGTGGATAAAAATATAATCCAATGGAAAGACTTGTTGAACATACATTTAAAAATTGATGGCAAGCTTAAACATCGGAAAAAGGTTGATTGATCCCTTTAGACGAACTGAAAATTAGTTATCTAACATCTCTAGAGCTAAAATTAGAAACTGAAAGTTGTAAAATTCCAGTCCCATGTTCCCAATGAATCAAAAGACCTATTTCCAGAATGATAACGGCATAAAATCGCTTCCGTTTACCGTATTCCTTCAGTCAATCATATAATTTCTTTATTTCATTATTATATGAGATGTATATGTGTTCACTTCAGTGACAGCAACATACATTAATGCTGGAAGAAGGCCAGATGTCAATTATTCTTTGTGTGAAATCAGTCTAAATCAATCGGCCAAGAAGCGAAGAAAAGATAAGTAAGCAATTTTAGTGTTCGTCTAAAGAACAGAGAAGAGGAAAAGAGGGTTTAGAAGCATTGCTTTGTCATTTGTATGAGCAGAGAAAAGAAGTAAGTACTCCAACCAATGTCATCCACTCTATCGTCAGCAGCATTCCATGTTCTATAATGTCGTAGATATCTTCGAATAACTGCACATTTGTTAGCATTCGGATATATCATATAGTTGATGGACAAGCTTAGATTAGATATATGTCGAGATAAGGTCCAGCTGTGTTTTATACGGGTCACAGATGTCCTCTAATTTGCAACCGACGACATTGTCGCATTGAAAACTATCGCTTGATTCTTGCTCTAATGAATGAATTTTTTGCTAAGCTTTTCGAATTCTAATTCTGCTTTAAACCACTCATTTATCCCTCTCGATTAGTTTACTTAATTAGTTTTACGATGCGAATAGAGTATGGTAAGCAGTCCGTGCGCAATTGTCGCAGTTCTGCCATTTTGAAATTAATTTCATGCTTCTCAATCAATCAAAGCTATTGTTTCAGAAGGTGCGCCAAATGTTCTAAATCACGGAGCAATCACAGCTTCACTCGTTCAGCACCTTAGTAAATTAGTAAGAATGAATGATTTTTGTGTACATATGGTAGGTATATTGCGCAAATGAAATGATATGTGCAAGTCCGTTTCAGTTTCTTATGTTACACGAACCAGAAAACCATGTGCGCTTGCTTTTCAAACATTAGCTTTTCTCAAATATAAATAAAAAATTCATTTCATAGTTTTTTAAAATTCTACCCTCTCTTCAGCAGAAAGAGCATATATTTCTGGATTTATAATGGAAGATTTCAAGATAATAGATTCCTTAGTTCTGATTATCAAGTTTGTGTTATTTACCGGAATAGGATTATGAAAGGACAGATTTTCTGATGAAGTATATACTCCTATGTTTTTGAGCAATCTCCAAATGTGTGGGAATAAAATCGCCCAAAAGTTTCCAGAAATTTAAAAATTTTCGGATGTTTTTCTATTTTAATTTGTATGACCAACAAAAAAATGGGGAACTATGTTTTCCCATCATTTGACCTTTTTTGAAAACTTTAAAATTTTAATTTATAAAATGCTCGAACCAATTATCAGTCTAATTCCAGTGTCTCAACAAATGAGCTTTTCTTTACCAAAATTCCCTCATTTTGGGATGTTAATTTTTTCTCAAGAGAAAATGAGCCCTTCCAGGTAGATTAAAGTGACTATTTATGAGTTGCAATTGCTGAGATTGTGACAAAACATGCAAAATCTTGTTGAGAAGTGTGCAACAGGTCACGCTCACGCTCATTTCATCTTTTTCGATCATTCAGTCATTTACTGAGTTATTTTCACCATTTGAGAAGGAAACTGTAGACTTATTCATGACCACCACTGCTATTAAGGTTCAAAATATAAATGACAGATTAAGCAGTAGTGGTATGTTAGAAAATAAATATTCAAGAAAATAACTGAAGCGATATGAAACGTAAACGGAGTCAGCCGCTGATTCTTTTTTAATTGATTTAAATCATCTTTGTAGGCTGAGAGAGACATCTCTTTGAAACTGCGAGAATTTCATCATCATCTTTTCAAGTTCTTCCACTCTCAACTACATATTCTCATTTCTTTATGGAAGAAATCAATGGAAAACTTCATTTCAAATATGCTGAGTGACCTTTTTGCTTCGATGCACGATGGGCGTGTGATGAAGTTGTATTGAGTTCATAGTTTGTCCTGAATATTTTTATTTGATCAAGCTGGTAATGTGAGCACTAAGGTGACATATAAGCCAGATCCAGGTGGTATCAGATTCTGTTTTTTGTGGAGAAGTATTAGCACTCTACACGAAATAAACAACAATGTTAGTAGTTGAACAATATGTATTCCGTCTATTCTGAATTAAGATGCTAATTAAAAATCTTCTCGCTTGTCGCTTGTCTCCAGGAGACATACAATGTTCTGTTATATTCAGGCTATTTCGGAAAATGAAATGCAAATTTGTATCCAAGAAGTATTTCCTTTGAATCCACTTTATCATGAATTGATAGATGCTAAACACATGGCGCAAAACTGCCCAAATCTTATCAATATTAATGATAAAGTTAGGAATTTATAAAATACAGATGAAAATAGCATAAATTATTGAAGTGAATACCTCAAGAATACTGT